CCACGCCACAATCCCTTCTCCTTCATTCTCCTCTCGGGATCTTGGGCATGCACACGTGCCTGGTATGAGTTTAAGTCACCGGGTCTGGAACTTGAACCGCGGCCGACTATATAGGAGTTCAGCGACATAGCCATTATGCCAACTACTAGTCCCCCTTGCGTGATTTTCAAGTCATGGGCCTGGGGCTTAAACTGTGGTTGGCCATGGGCAAGTCCAGTGCCTTAACCCATCCCTGCTGTCCTCCATCATCAATTTTTATTAAGTCAGAAAAGCGACACAAGCAGGTGACATGTAGTTAAAATGTTGGAATCCCACATGACTGACTGCAGTCCGAGTCCTGGACCTACAGCGTGAAAATCATGCCAGGCACATGTGTGTGCGTGCCAAAAGCTCAGGAAAAGACATTGCAGCATGGCCATCCCCTACCCTGGGGTGGGGGGGTGATTTCTCATTTCTCACTTTATCTCTCTCTGTCTTTCTCTGGCAAGGGCACATGCCCTATGGGGGAAAAAAAAAAGAAAAAGAAAAAGAAAAAGAAGTTAATAAAGCTACTCCATTAAATTCCCTGGGACTTTACTGTTCCAACCTAGCATATTCTTGAAGTCTGGAAGATGAATAGAAAAAATGTAACCACTTAAGTCTAAAAACACAGCACAAATGCACTTAATGAACAGCATTAAAGAGATGGTGATTTCAGAGCCTGTAAGTTATTAGATCAGAGGAATATATGCAGAAGAAAGCATGCACTGAAACAGACGTTAGCAGGGCAGAGAAAACTCAAACGCCTTAAAGGAGAAGACCATGTCTCATTCTTCTCTCTCCCCTGAACTGCCTTGAAAAGAGCAAGTTTCATACACGAGCCGTGCAACATATTACAAAATTTCAGAGTGTATTTGAAATTCAAATGTACACAAGATTTATGCGTTTTGTTTTTCAGTTGGTCTCAGTTTTTCTAAGTCAAGTTTTCCCTGTGCAAGTGGTCCCTTGGGCTCCCTGTGGGGTCAGCTTCTGGGTGTCTTTGCCAGGGTCAGGAAGGCTGTTCTTCCAGGAAGGACTGCAAAGACCCTGGGAACCAGAGCAGCCCAGCTTACAAGTATGAAGAGAATGTCGGGAGAGGAAGTGGTGGCGATGAGTCAGCCTGAGTCATCTCGTTCCAATGAGAATGAAGGCAGAGGTGTGCGCCCTTTTTTTTTTTTTTTTTTTTTATCTTTTGGACATCAATGGGAATGGAGGGAAATATTTGACTGTACAGCCGCTGCTTTTTAAGTTTCAGACCAACGTTCCCAGCACGCTGCGCCTGAGCCAGTGTCTGCCTTCAGAACTTCACAGCACAGGTCCTGGAAGGTGGGGCTACCAGCTTCTCCCTGGTGAGTATGCTTCTGTCATTTCTATAATCGTTTCTGCAGTTGGCCTCTGAGTCTGAGCTGTATTTAAGGCTGTTGCATCCTGGAGTGGATCATGTGTTTGGTTCAGAAGCGGAAGATCTGTAATTTTAGCAAAGTGGCTCCCTCTGTCCCCACCCCTCTAGCGACGTGGTCTCTTGGTGGTCGATTGTGAGACTCTAGATGCTTCTGGCACTTGGTGCTGTCTTGGAAGAGACAGTGATGCTTGACTGGGAAATAGCCTCTTTCCTCTCTAGAAGCCAAAGTGAAGTTCAGAGATGGAGGTGGGTGAATTTGTGCTAAGCTGGGGGTGCTGAGGTTGGGTTAGCTTCCGCTTCATGGAGGTTTGAGGAAAGACGGCCCCTGTGCAATTTCTGGCCGTGTGGTCTGAGCTGCCCGGACTGAGTGCCCAGTTTCAGTACAAGAAATACAATAGGGAGGCTGATTTGGCTTCCTTTTCTAAACACAAGTGCATGATTCCAGGAGCTTATTTTAAGTCCTTTCATTTTCCTTAATGCTAAAAGTCACAGACTGTGGAGAATCAGAAAGGAAAGAAATATGCTGGGGGGCAGTGTGGGGTGGGCAGGGTAGAGGACGGGTAAACGTGGGGTTGAGGCCTGACTTGATCTTGATAGGTATTTCTCGAACTGTTACTATTCTGAAGAAGCTTCGCTTTACTGTCAAGTAAAATACAGGAAACATTTTTTTTTTAATGTCATTCTAGTTACTGTAAATGAAACGGTTAAAATGTCATAAATACCTTAAGATAAACAATTTTTGAATTTGCTTAAAAAGCAGCACCTCAGTAAGCAGGGCATGACGGGGAGCTTTTTCAGTACAGTCATTTGAGTGCGTGGGCTTCCTGGGTGGATAATGAGTCAGCACCGATTTCTAAAATTGGAGTGGCTCAGAGGCCATTCAACCTGCCCCTGAGCACAGCATGGGGGCTGAGCAGCCTCCCAGGAGGGTTTGGCTGTTTGGTCTTTTGTTAAAATCCACTTTGGATGACTCCCTGTGGAAGTGACAGGCGCCTGGCTTCGGTCCAGCTCCTCCGTGCTATGACTGGGGCCCCTCTGCTCGGGGGTCTGCCTCTGTGGGGAATAACACGTTTGGCTTCCTCATTGTCTGCTTTGGCTCTTGCTGATGACTTCTAGGTTCTGTTTTAAAGAAACTCATTGAGCATAGTTTGTTGAATGAAAGCTCGGGTGTTCATTAGGGACTAGGTGGCCCAGAGCTGACACTAAAGGGTATCACTCTCAGTGAGGGTGGGTGTGAGAGTGGGTCTCAGTGTGCTCTTTAAAGCTGGCATTCTGGGGGCTGGATGGTGGCCCAGCAGTAAGATATAGTGCTCCGCAAGGCTGACCCATGGGGGCAGGTTCCAGGTGACCTCCCTGAGTATGCTGGGCACATGTGTGCCCCACGACCTGGGGCTGGCTGAGGCTGGGATGGAGTGTGGCATCAAGACCCTGGAGGAGTGCTATATCTCTCTTTCCTTGAAATTAATGTCAGGAATGTGTGCATGCATGTACCAAGTCCCAGGAAGATAATGGGAGAGAAGGGATTTCTGTGTGGCCATCCTCCCAAAGGGGTGATTTCTTACTTTCCCTCTGTCTCTCTCATTCATAGAATAAATAAATAAATAAACTTCAAAAACTCCCCCCAAATTGGCATTCTGCTCGCACCCTGTAGCATGGGAAAATGTAGTCTGATTCAAATCAGAAAGCAAGATTGTAAGGAAGAAAATCTATGTGTGCTTGCTGGAGAGACAAAGCTAGATGGAGAGAAAGTGAGAAGTCACCCCCCCAGGGGACATGGCCATGCTGCAGTCTCTTTTCCTCCATTCTCCTCTTGAGACTGGGCACATACACACATGTGCCCGGCGTGAGAGTCTAGTCTGGGACTAGAACCATGGTTGGCCCTGTGGGATTCCAGTCCTTAGCCACGGCACCACCTGCTGGCCCCAAACCTTACTCTTCTTATAGATAAGATGAGAGACCTACTGAGAACATTTTTTTAAAAATGAAATAGTCCAGCAGTTCCAGAGCTCAATGCAGCCCTGCTTAGATCCATGCCCCCAGCGGGTTCTGTGTGGCCTGCTCAGAGTTGTTTTTTGTGTGTGTCCAGGTAACTATGGGAGGGGTCCAGGCTCTCCAGATCACAGGCCCTACCACACCCTGACACTGCAAAGTTTAGAAAGTGCACTCGGCAGGAAGGCTCAGAGGTCTTAATCCTGCTGTGGGAGTTTTCGAAACCTCAGGCTTCCATACTGCCACACCACCCACGTCAGAGGGCTGCTCGGAGGGATCAGTGAGTGAGCGTCTGCCCCGGGCATTGAAGGGACTCCATCGGCAGTAGCTGTCCTGGGTTCTCTCATTTACCTGGCCTCTGAAAGCATCAGGGCTCATGGCTCCTGCATCTGCCCCGTGACTTTTTCGAGAAGGATTCTGTGATTTGAATGTAGGCAGCAGTTGCGCCAAGGCTAAGAACCACAGTGCCAGCATGGGACTCTCGGCGAGACAGACTCTGGGACAGGTGTCAGGCCCTTCAAGATGGGAGACTGGGCCTGCTGGTCCCTCGTGATGAGGCCTCTTTGTAGGTGCTTGAGAAATGCTGCCTTTGTAGACAGGAGCCTGTACAAGACAACCTGCCTGAGACCATGTCCAGTGGGCCATTCACACGAATGCATGCTCTTGTCCCCATTTTGGAAGACCCACTGGGTCCCAGATGTGTGCTTATCACTGGGCCTGGGTCACTAAATCCTTCCACGAGTGCTGTTGGAACATGGTTTAGAGGTGACTGACTTTTATTCCAGACGTTGACTGTGTCCTTTCACGTAGGGTGAATGCTAGACGTCAAATCACTTCTTACCAATGGGAAGCAGACCCGCAGTGAACTTGTATTATCACTTTTGTCATCAAAAGCGAGTTCTTTAAAAAGGCTAGAAAGAAGGCCACAGGCACTCTGTTATTTTGGCTAAAAATAAATCATCTATTATCATGATGTGCCGCTTTGCCATGTTTTTTCAGCTATCAGAAGAGTTGGTGCTTGGTATAAAGGCAGACAACAGGTATGGAGAGGAACCTTCTGCGAGAGAATCTGAGGGTGTATTTTAAAAAGCCCTCTACCGGGCGTGGTGGCACCTGCCCTGTGGCAAAAACTACTGGAAGCCAGAGGATTACAGCATCGAGCCCATCTCCCTCTCTCTCTCTCTCTCTCTCTATCTCTCAGCGTGCACAATTTAAAAAAATAAATAACCATCTACTGCAAAGAGAATGCAGGGGCGTGGTGGCACCCGCCCTGTGGCAAAAACTACTGGAGGCCAGAGGATTACAGCATCGAGCCCATCTATCTCTCTCTCTCTCTCTCTCTCTCTCTCAGCATGCACAATTTAAAAAAATAAATAACCATCTACTGCAAAGAGAATGCAGGCAGTGCAGTGACTTTTGGCAGTTGCCTGGTATCCTGTTGTCATGGTGCCCATGGTGTAGGTACCGGTCTGTGGCTTGCTGGCCCTGCCTGCTTCTCTCTCCTCCTTAACGCCTGACCCTGGGCTTGCAAGGCCTCCCACTCAGAGGTGTCTGCAGGACCTCCTGAGTCTGCACCCCTGGCTGCCGTGTGGTGAGTTCACCCTGGTGCTGGAAGTTACCTAACTTCTTGGTGTCCCACCTTCCTCATTGAGAAATGAGGGTATTAATAGCACCAGCCTCGTGAGTTCTTGTGAAGAGTTTATAACTAGTACACACGTTACAGGGAAGTCAGTAACTGTTAAGTACATATTCCTGTATGTAAATATACAGGCCAAGTATATCTAGTTCAAAATTCCTGGGACCAGAAATATTTCCGATTTCTCTGCATTTTGGAATATTCGCATATACATAATGAGATGTCTTGGGGATGAGGCCCAGGTTTAAACATGAAATTCATTTACGTTTTGCATCTACCTTATACCTTTACATATATAACCTGAAGGTAATGTTATACAATATTTTTGTATTGTAGGGTTTTGATTGTGACCTGTCACATGAGGTCATATGTGGAATTTTTCATCGGTGGCATCAGGTTGGCACTCCAAAAGTTTTGCATCTTAGAGCATTTTGGATTTTGGATTTGGGGATTAAGTCATGTCCAACCTATATAAGCAGACACCTTGGGTCCCTCTGCTCTTTTGACATCCATGAAGGATTGATTCTCATGCCTCCGAAGTCAGAGCCCACCTGTGTTATCCATTACACAGCATGCTCTGCATTCACAGGAAAGCTATTTGTTCGGTAAATGGAGATTGCTCCTTGGTTCACTGTAGGAAAGCCAGGGGGTTCTAGAAGTCGTCTCACCATGCTCATGGTGGTCAACAGTTCACTCTGAGGATGGCTCCCACAGTGCTCAGCCCCAGCCGTTGGGCAGTGACTTGGCCTCTAGCCTCTTGGACTCACAGCCAGCCTGATGGGAACAGAAGGTTGGCTCGCTGCTTGGCTCACTCAGAGTCCCCAGACTCCCCAGCAGGTACTGGGCACAGCAGCTACTTCAAAAAGAGCATCAGTGACGGGTCCCTGTGCTCACTCGGCAGACGAACCAGGAAAGAGGAGACCAGGAGGTCTGTGTGTGATCCAACCAGGCGGAGGCCGCAGGTCAGCAAATCCAGAACTGCTGGCCACAGACCTGCCCCAAGGCCGGAAGCAGCTGGATTCCATCCTCACGCTTCCCATCTCAAGCCAGCGATAGCTGCCTTCTAGTTATCTAGATTCCGGCTATTTGAGAATCAGCACAGTCAATGGAGATGACTCATACTGAAAAGTATTAAATAAGATGCGTTTAAAACGAAAACCAGTGAGCATAGCCTTTCTTTGCCAGTTCCAGAGAGAATTCAAGACCGTGCTGTGTCTTGGAAGCCAAATCCTCATGCCTGTTCTGCCACCGTCCAGGAGAAGAGCCACTTTTGGTGTCCTTCTGGTGGTACTGGCGTCGCTGGTATTGGCCTGTCGAGACGA